AGATTCATCCAAATGTTTCTTCTGCAGTGTGACCTTTCAGCTGCTCTTTCAGTAGCAAGGCATAGGACAATTCATACAGGTGACGAAATACTGCATGGGACATGACAAAAATATCCATGTGCCTGCCCAGATACAGTCTAACACAACTACAGGGCACTAAATAATACAGGTGTTTGTTATGACTTTTTCCAGCTGCCAAACATTGATTGTGCTGGGCTCTTTGCAGAGCTAGACCTGGTAGGAGAGCTCAGCATGGATGTGTGCTGCTATCAAGCACTGAGAGACTGTTTAGCTTAAATACCTGCTTTGTTTAGAAACCTAACAGAGATATTGCAGGTCATTTTCCATCAGAACAAGTGTTTATTATGCAAGAAGCACATTTTAAAACTCACAGTGGCAGATCTGTAGTCTTCACACCGCAGGGTCAGGCTAGTGAAGCAATGACCCACAGTGCACTTCTTTCATTAGCACTGTACTTTCCCACCAAGTTGATAGGAAAAGAGCTGCAGCTGCCTTTAGGCAGGACAGATGCATCCAGGCCAATGCACTCTTTGCCCTTCCCGCTTAGTCCACCATTGCCTTCTCTCCTTCCATCTTAGATTCCCAGTGTGCATCTTTTGAGGGGAGACATTGCTCCCAACAAATAATCCCTTGCAATCTGATGCTGTAAAATCTTTCTTGATGTTCTAACACATCGTGGATTTATTCCACATTGTCCTGAAGTCACAAGAGGAGAACACTTGTGCAGCTGAAACCCAACTTGTAACACCTTGTTGGGTGACCTCAGGCAAGTCGCTTTGTCTGCCCAAGTCTCAGGTTCCTCATCTGCTAAAGAAGAGAGCTTCGTAAAAGAGCTGTAAGATCTGCTGATGAAAACCATTTTCATGCTTCCTTTTGTGGCAGCAAACACTTTTCACGTGGGAAATCCTACACAGTTGTATGTGTATTTATCACAAAAATGGGAAAAAGAATCCGAAGAGCTATATGTTTTTTTTAGTACTGATAGTAGTGCGTATTGGTTAGGAAGCACCAGAGTCTGATTTTTTCAAAAACAAAAACAAAAGGGATATACATATACATATACATAAGGAGCTTGTGTTCAGAGACTGCAGCTCATGGGGAAATCTATATGCTGTCAACATTTTCCTTGTAAGAAAACACTGAAGCCATTAGGCTGCTGCTGCCTCAGCTGTGTGGAGACTGATTTAAAAGTTCAGGAGAAAAAGAGGATGATGAGAGTTTTATAACCACATGGGCTGATATCTTTGTAAAACATTATTATGTTTTTTAAACTGCTGAGGACTTGGAAGATGAAGCCATCTTCTCATTCACTGCTGGGATCCTCCTGCAGGATCCTGTGGGGTTTCACTGTTCCCAGAATGAAGTCCTGACCGTCAGCTGCACGGATCCCAACTGTGTGCACACTGAAGGGGCTGGGTTAGCATGACTGAAAGTGAGCATTAAAAACAAGTCTGCGTAAATCTGTGAGTTGCACTGCCGAAAAACTTCCATTTGTTTCTCTTAGGCCTGTTGTTACATGTGTTTCCTTTTATAAAAGCATTGCATTTCCACCTTTTGTGTCAGTTGTACAAAACTGTCTGAAAGGTCAGTCTCACCTTTTGCCTTTTGCATGCTTACCCTGAAATACTCATCAGTGCTGCAGATACCCTTACAACCTGTGTTGCTGTGTGAATTCGTGGTGCTTCGTGGTGCGTGCTGCTTGATTACTATCCACTCCTTTGACCCGGCAGTTATGCCAGAAAACTGATGTCCTTGTTTCATTTTGTGTGCAGAAACGTTGCCTGCTGGTTGCACAGTTTGCTGTGCTCTGCATTAGCCCACATGCAAGCAGAACGGCCAGCAGTGCAGAGCTGTGGCCTGCAGGACTGAGTGGGGTCTGGCAGTGAGCTGGCAGGGCTGCGGGCCCACGGCACTGTGGGTTGAGCTGTCGTGGTGGAGTGCCATCCTGTGCATGGCTCCATGCAGCCATACCCCCATGTTTGGCACCTGGGATTTTTACCATGAGCAGCGTTCAGTATTTCGTACGACCTCATGTCTTGTCTGAGAACGGCAGAATTTCAGCCGTCGTGTAAAACAAAGCTTTCAGTCTTCTGGGTTGCAGGAGAAAACTTGGAAACGCAGGGCCAGCTGTCAAAGTGCCAACCACTTGTCACTTGTAACTTCACTACCTTAAACACGTTACAGAAAATAGCGTTATTGCGACCTGTCTGGGTGGTGCTTTGTGTTCCCCTGCACCTCCCTGGTAAATAAGGTGTCCTTTTGTTTCCACACATTAAGTAATGTGTTACTCATCCCTGATTGACCTTAGCGAGATGAGGTTAGAGCGCTGTGTGTGCAGTGCCTCATGACTGTGTTCCTTCCAGTTGGGTCAAACAAGACAAATTTTAGATCTTAAGCGCACGGCTAAATTTACCCAGTTCTGCATACTTGATTTGGCAAAACCATATGGACTTTCTGATACATTCCTCAGAGCTCTTCTGAATCCGTTTCAAAAGTCTCTGTTCACGAAGCGTACCCACTGTTCAGTAGGAGGTGTAGAAGAACAGCGCCTATTTTAGGCGGAAGATTTCCTGCCTGCCTCAGGCCAGCTAACACGAAGCCATCGCCCAAAGCTGCCATGAAGGCTGGCCCCTTCCCCTGCCAGGCTCCATCAGCACACAGGCTGAGCCCTCTGGAGCGGGCCCTCGGATCTGATCCTGAACCCCCCTCTGCGAGGAAGATGTGAGGCTGGAGGAGGACTTGAGGCACTGGGGATGGTCTCGGGTCAGCTTTAGCTACTTGTAGGCGTGCTTTGTTTTTTGCTGTTTGTTGTAGAGCTGGTGCAGAAGATGGAAAATTCCCTTTAACCAGTTAGGCAGGATTTCCAGAGGAAAAACTGTATTTGCTGAACTCAAGCTGTGAAGCAGCTGATGGATCACACCCCAGTGATATGCCTGAATATCATCCTGTGGAATACTTGATATTTAATGCCTACCCTGTTCCCTGAGTAGCTTACGTTGAGGATGAAGGCTCTGTGCAGAAAGCAAGTTCATCCTGCCTGCACCCAGTGGACATCTTGGTCAACAGTACAGCTTCTTCCTCTGAATGCAATCCATAATAAGAAGCAATAAGTAATAAGAGGCTTGGCAGAAAGAACAATTGTGAGCTGTTCAAAACATGCATAAGAGTATATCAGTCTTTGTGATGTCCTATATACTTCTTTCCTTTAAAGGACTTCTTGATCTGTAAGAAATTATTTTGCTTGTGTCAAGTGAGCTTAAGAAAATGTTTGTATCTGAAAGGAGTGAGCTCAGCCTAGAAGGTACAAATAGTGGATTCTTAAAACAGAGGGCTGCTGGAGCTCATCATAAGGTTTGACATTAGAGCTTAGACCGTCCAGAGCTAAGGCAATGAAAAAATTAGCTGATGTTCTAATATATTTATATATATAGTCATCTTTTTTTTTCGTTCACCTAACCACGTGATGCTGCTGCACGCTCTCTGGGTCCTTTGCCCAGTGGTGAGCTGGTTCAGGGAGCTATATTGGCAGAAGAGTACTTGCTGTTTTTTGTGTAGCTGGTTCTCTGCTATCTCATTTTCTCAACTGAATCACTGCAAAGTGAGACAAACTCCAAAGGCAAAATGGGAGAGGCAGAGTGTGAGCCAAACAGCGGAGGAGAGGAGCCAGCAGGACAACACCTTCCCACTACAGCAAGCTATTAGACTGGCTTAACTGTAATCCAGAAAATAACTTTAAAAATGTTAGAGTTTATTAAAGACATTTTATGATTTTCTTTCTTGGGTAATTGCCCAGATAATTATGAAAATCCAGCTGAACTCAGGGAGGTTAAAGATAGGCATGCATCGATGTTTTGGCATGATGTAAAAGAACACTGCAAGGCAGGATTTTATTCTTTTATGTCAGGATTGTGGTCAGTTTTTCAGTTTAGTGCCTAAACTGAAAATGTAGCCACAACTAACATAGAATTGAATGCAATACTGTGTTTCACACAAAATATTTTGCTTTGAGCTTTTCAGTACTTTCCAAATTTCAGATCTCCTCTATTCAGCTGTAGAATTCAATCTGAACTCGCAAATACTTTGTTTACTCCAGAATCTTCTTTGTTTTTTGGGGATATAAGCTATTCATTTTTTGCTGCCAGCTATAGCTTGTAATGCAGGCTCATGAAGCTAGGCCACTTCCCCTAGCATACGCTCTCAGTGAGTCAGGACTGCGGGTGGAACTTGAGTTTTGTCATTGCCAAGAATAAAAACACTCTGCTTTATCAAAGCAGAAAACATAAGGGCATCATTTTTTATTACAAAAATGAAAAACTGCAGTTCAGCGTTTTTGTATTTGCGTATTTCTGTAGCTTTTTCAAATTAAAAGTATTCTGTGCAGGCGTCAGCTTAAAAGCACTTAAAACCCATCAAAACACAGCCTGGTGTCCCAGCATGTGGAGTGCTTTGGCCTCATCCAACAACACACCAGGACGCAGCCATGTTAGTCATCAATGTGGTTTCAAAAGTGAGTTCTTCTTGCCCTGCAGGTTCATACCCAAATACAGCTACGTTTGCAGAAGATCACAGAGAAGTCCGGCATCCGGTTGGCTGAACTGACAAATTTGCTGGAAATTCCCGTAGAATCTGAGCTAAAATTATTTCTTTTTGATGCTGAAATCACAGCTGTGACGAATATTCATCCTTATCTATGATTCATGCATTCTGTCAGAATGGGAAGTGTTAGAGTAGCACAATTTAGTAACTTCTGTTTACTTCCTCCTAGTTCAGCATTTCTCATTTAACATGTCCAGGTTATCTGTATAACAAACCCATTATTACCTGTCTATTACTGATGCTTTACCATTTGTTCAACCATTTGCTGCTGTCTAGTTATAAAATATGAAGTTTCCTGGGTAATGTCACCTAGTAGGGGGGGAAATTTTCTGCTTTAAAAATTGCAAAATTCATTGAGAATCTTGTATCTTTTTTACATACAGAGAATTTCGCCCTTCAAAACATTGCACAGTTGACCTGCAGAACGAGATCACCGTGGCTGTTAGCAGTTGCAGTGCTTCTTTATGCCTGGTGACCTCTGTTTCCACGTGCCCAGCTCCCAGAAGGTAAGAATACTTGGAACTTTTGGTTGTACACTTATCAGGTCTCATATCTGTCCCCACTGCTGCTGAAGTAGAGCTTGGGACCAGTTTGCCTACTATGCCCACTGCTCCTCCTTCACCTCGAACAGGGGCACGTTTTCATGCACAGCCCTGTGCCCTGCAGATAGCTTAACTTTCTAGCTTTGCAATTTCTCACAATCAGTAACTCCCCGTTGGTGCACAGTCACGCTTCCTTTTGCCTTCTGGTTCCTTTTAAGAGATTTCAACATGTTAGCAACCAAAGATTGTTTTTCTTCAATAGTTGCATCTTTGGTGCTACACTTCATGTGTTTGAGAAAGAAATCGTGGTGGTCTTTGATGCAATTAAATTCAAAGTAGCTGTGGGGATCTTGAAATGAGAATATATTTCGCTGTGGAACTGTCATCCTAACTAGTCACTTCAGATGAATGCTCGCTCTCCCTTGGTATACAGGGATGTGTATTTTAAAGTGAAGGTTTTTCTTTTCTGTCTGCCCTTACAGTCATCAGAAAATTGTAAATGGAAGCACCGTGTCAGGTTGGACAGCTGGTAGTTGTACTTAAAAATAGCGTGTGAAAGCTAATGAATTATCTAAGTGACAAAGTCATAGTACAGGTACTGAGAGGGCAAAGCAGCAACAGAGCTGCTCATGTGTTTGTAAGAACAGCTGAGGACTAATGAAAACACCTAAGAAAACAACTGAGTTTTGCCTGCACGTTGCTCCCGTAAACATGACTTCTTTAATGTCTTGCCAAACCTACATTGTTAGAAATCAGATGGTGCCACTTGGAAGAGAATTTTAAAATGATGTGCATTAAAGGGATTTCCCTGAATTAGGGGAAATTTTGTTCTTCTGCTTACAGGAAAGTAATTTTATTTAACTGAACACATTCCACAGTGGAGTACTGTGTAGTTCATCTGTATTTAACACAGCTATTAGCAAACAGAACAGATCTGTAACTGGTTTTACATGGGGTGTATCTTTCATGCGATGAGAGGAAAGGGAAATAAACTCTTTTCAAAAGGGAAATTTATAAATTCCGATCCCTGTGGTGCAATATAGAAGATCTCCATTTGAATTGAAGGAAGCAGGTTTTCACTTTGCACTGTGGCCCCTCAAGCCTGCACTTTGTAGGGTTCCCCTTGGTGAAGGCTTTTTAGGAATGGTATCAGCACCCCAAGCAGCAAGACTGCAGTTCTGCCTGTCCGTTTTGCTTGTCATCTTCTACCAGAGGAGAATCTGGCTCCACGCTCCTTTATTTTGATGTGGAATTTTAAGTTCCTTAGGAAACATATTATTCTGCATTTGACTTTCCTTTTTTAAGTTTTGCAAACTGTGTTTTTACATGCATTTGCATGAATTTTTTTAGTGGAATTTAGATTTTAAGGGGAAACTTTCAAGGCAACTTACTATTTTGTGAGTCAAAAATGAGTTTGAAACTAGTTGCAGTTGGAGTGGTTGAGATCACATGGTATTTTTTTAAGTCAAAGATAGCTTCATTTATTCAAGAAATGTTTTGATGTGGTGTCTTGAGCAGAACAGTAACTTGTTTTGAACTGCATAGAAGAGACCCAGTGTCAAAATGGCTGATGACAGGATTCTGTTATTTCAGCCTCCAAACACTTTTCCAGCTGAAGTAAATATGCGTTGGTGATGAATAAAACATCTTTGCGAGGGGTGTTTTAAACAGGGGGCTTCAGTGCTTGGGAGTTTAATATCATCTTAGAGGTACAGGCTGTTGTTTTGCCTGTTGGCTTTGGTTTGTCTTGTAGGGTTTTGTTCATTTTTATTTTTGTAAGGTTTTTTGTTTTTTTTTCGTTTGAAATACAATGACTGAAAAGCTCATCATAGTTTTTACTTTTCGATGCCTTTGTATTTGTGCTTCAATGAGATTTTAGAAGATTTCCAACATGCTTCTAACATGTTTTACTTCGGTCGTATGAGTGCTGACCATATGTTGAAACTCAAGGCTGAGGCAGCCTGCTTATTTCAGCACCCCAAGTCCTGAGCTAACGTGACTGGGTAACAAAGTGACATTAGAACTGACTCAAAATGCACTCAGCCAAAAAGTCGTGGCCACAAAACAGGATCACATGGATCCTTTGATTGTGCTCACATCACAGGGTCTGTATGACTGCACGCGGAACGAAACGTTTCTTCACTGGTAAAACCCATAAGGATTTCAGATGCCATAGTAAGGCTCATCACTTTCAATTATCTTTTACCATTAGAGTGAAGTCTGCTGAAAGTAGCTGATTGTTCTGTGCATAACGAGCAGGTTGAATGATCCCACATAAACAGTGCAGACCTACAAGCTCTCTGCAAGCTCTTTGCAAGCCCAGTGTTAAGCAGCCTTGGCTATGGGCACTGTTTGCTCATGATGTTGGCTGGGTCAGTCACAAAATAATAAGCTAGGTGAGGTGGATTTAGATTCTGCATTTGTTTTTCTCACAATTGAGGAAATGCTTTTTTTTGTAAGTGAACAGATTTTGCATTTTGTACATTGAAGTGTTCATCAGTCATTGATGCTGTTATGATTACTTTGCTTCGGTCGGCCTTTAATACGTTTTTGACCAGCTTTCCTTTGAAGATACTGTCAGTGGTCTGTCAGCTGTAAGGTGGACAGGAGATGGCATTTACTTTGTCTGATCTTCAGCTAACAGAGTCTGAATGGCCAGAGGCAGGCCAGGCATGAGGGATTAAAGTCTTTTTACCACTGACAGCACTCATTTGTGTGTTTCTTTTCTCTTCCAGCCATCAGTTTTCATTAAGCTGATAGAAACTCATACTGTGAGATGTCTACCTGGCTTTCAAATTGGATTAAAATTGGTCAAAAAGTTATTGGACGAAGGGAAGATGGTCAGGATGATCACAGAACACTTTTTCATTAGCAATTGAAGCCAAGATGCTGCATTACAAAACTACATCATGCATTTGTGGGAGGTGCTTCTGTCTCTTATGGAGCGTTTGTCTAGTCTATGTTTGCAGGCAATGGCAGCCATATCAGCTATTAGCATTACCAGTAGATTGCAGTGATATTTGACATCACCTGAAAACCAATGGTGGGAAATGAAGAGAAGTGACAAATTCTGAGAGGAATAGGAACTCTGAGGATTGTGAGGCCCCACTGTTAGCAGGGCTACTAAGGTTGGAAGACATTAGCTGGTTTTCATACTGTAATGCACAGAGCTTCCTAATAGTTGTTTCTTGTGGATCTGCAAAATACAAAAGACTTTAGGTTAAAGGAGTAGTAATGAATCATTTATGAGATATTATCTGGAAAGATGGATTGGTTCCATCTGTTACAGTAATAAAAAATAATAATGCTTAGCAATTACATAAATGCTTTACAGGTTTTCAGTGTGCATCACAAACATTAATCTAAGATCTAGCCCATAGCACAGTTTTTAAAAGCTTGTAAAATGGCTTCAGCTTATTTATACTGTCTTATTTCTTTATTTTTAACAAGGAAATTTGTTGTAATAGAGTTTTTAAACTAGTTTAGAAAATTGAATTGTAACTCCTTGGTCTAAGACAGCATATGAAGACAGCCACAAAATTAGCTTCTTTTCCTCTTGGTAATTTAAGTTGCTGCAAATGTCCATTTAAAGTGCAGCTCTAAATGCAGGTGTTCATTAACATACAAATGATGAAGATGCCTTGCAAGATGCAGTACTTGCAGTATCTCGCAGTTATTTGTTAATCTCATATTTTTCTGCCTTGTAAGCAGCTCAGTACTTGAAGGCTGCTGCTTTGAGAACCAGAGTACAGTCACCCAGAAGTTTTGCTGTGCCCATGCATTCTATTTCAGTGTGCATGGGATCGTGTTACCTGAAAGAAATACCTGCTTTTGTCCAGTTCAGGATGACTGGATATGTCAAGTAGGGACTTCCCATATTACACGTTTTGGAGCGTAATTGATCTAACAGGATGAGCCTTTGGCTGTAATTTTCCTTTTCTATCCAGCTTTTAATTTGAATTCTTGAAAAAAGTCACGATATGTTAAAGCAGCAGCAAACGCTAAGTCTTGTCTATTGGAATTTCTTATGTGCTCCCTAGCAAATAAAGGTCTGAAAAAAATGGACAAGATTTATAGTAAATTCCACTTACTGGATAATTATCCCTATTGATCTTTTGAGCATGTCTGCAGGTCACAGAAATATATAGATCAACATATATTGCATTTGGGGTAAGTACGTAAGTGTCTCGAAGTTGCCTTCTTTGCCGTGTGACCTGAGACCTTGAAAGATAAGGTGCCATGTGAGCTACAGCTTTGTAAATCTGTTTATCTATAGACGTCATAGATTAGACATGGGCTTTGCAATACGATTTGACTGAAACAAATGACATTAATTCCATTAACTGTGGTCAAAAGTAGTGTATGTATTGACAGAGGTGGGTTACGTATCTCCACCTACCAAATATTTAGTTTGGAAACATTAATCACATTAGTTTATGGTGAAAAATAGGAAAGTTGTGTCAGAACTGGAAGAATAATTTGAAAAAAAAAAGGTATAATTTCCTTCTACGGTATTCTGTTAATTCATATACAGTGAGATTAATTACAATGGACCAAAACCAAAATCCAGCATTTCATGCAGACAGAAAATGATGGATTCTGTTTAGTTGTATCCAAGTGCTGGTAATAATTTCTGAAACAGAGCAACAGTTTGCTGTCAGTGCTGACTCTACCCCTTTAATCAGCAGTGACCTGGAAAGCAGTTCTTTAGTCTCCTTATCCAGGCTATCTGGGTTAGTGTTACAAAGCATAAACTGTGCATGGAGGAAGTGATTAGCAGTGCAAAGTCGATCTTGCTTGGTAACTCCCAGGTGCTGCAGGGTGTGCTCTGCTGCTTGCCCCAAAGCTTTCTGTGCTGCTGCTGTCCTGCTCTCCTTGCCTGCACATTCCCTGGTACCCAACTACCCCATCAGCCCCTCTCTCAGGAGGCATCGTACCAGAGCATCTTCAGAACGACAGCTTTC